ATAAATCAAACATTGTAACAAAATAATTGTGTATTTATATTGTTAAGAATATCAAAAGCTCAAGCTTTTAGTTTTCAAACTTTGATAAACATATATACATAATAAATAAGTTATAAATTTGAATATATTTTGTATTTATTTATACGTATTATAGAGATAAGAATTTTTTATAAAATTAATTTAAATACTCTTGTTATAGCTTTCTATCGTGTAAATTACGATGATCGTGGATGGCAGCGCATTTTCGATTTCTTGAAAAGCGATAAATTCGAAGAAATTCATGTATTAAACAGAGCCGCCATTGTAGACGATCTATTAAATTTGGGTAGAACAGGATATCAAAATAACGATGCGGTTTTAGACAGACTGCTTTATCTTAAGAGAGAAACAAATTATTTGCCATTTAAAGCAGCACTTAAAGGTTTAGACTACTTTAATAAGCGATTTACAGGATCCGCGGAACACAACTTATTCAAGGTTTGTTAATTACTAATGTATAGAACACAAATTTATAATTAAAAAAACGAACATAATTTGAATTACTTAAAACGTAATAAGTTATCTGTACTATTTTATATAAATCTTTTTGAGTAATTTATAATTAATTTCCTCTTCTCTAAAATTATACAAACATATTAGTTATTAAATTAATATTAGTTATTAAAATTTTAAGAAATTGATATAAATTTGAATATAAATACAAAATTATATACTTCACGAAATTAATTGTGTATTTAATTTATATTTTTAGACGTATGTCTTGTCTCTTATTAGTAATATACGTTCTGAGCTTGGATATGAAGATCGTAAAAATGATGACAGATTAACAGTTCTGTTGCGACGATTAGTGCATAATTGGGCTTGTAATTTTGACGACGATGATTGTGTAACAACTTATACCAAGAAGTTTAATCAGTGGAGAGCAAATCCTTCTAATCGGTAAGAATATGTAAATATTTTTTTATTTCTATAAATCTCTATATGTATACATACACAGTACATATATAGATATATATAGATATGTTATAAAATATATTATGTTTTACATAATATAATTTTAATATTTAAATTGTCTTTATTACGTTTAATACACTCTACACACACACACCAAGATTTTTATTATATATAGATTTTGTGTGTGTGTGTGTGTGTGTGTGTGTGTGTGTGTGTGTGTTTGGAATTATCTATTTTGGCATTATTTATTTCATAAAATGTTTAAATATTTTTATTATTTTTTGAGATGTTAAAAATAGGAAATAACTAGACGTGTTATTTAAAATCCTTCATTGCACTTATGAATAATTATTATAATTTATCTGAAGATTGTTTAATATTTGACAGTATCAATCCTAATGAAAGAACCACCGCGTACTGCACATCCATAAGACATGGAACTTCTGAAGACTGGGAATTTTTATGGAAAGACTATTTTAATTCTAACGTTGCAGCGGATCAAATGGTGATTCTAGGTGCTTTGGGATGCAGTCAGAATACCACCATTTTAGAAAAGTAATGTTTAATATACGAAAATATTGTTACTAGTTAATACACGAAAATAATGAATTATAATAAACTGATTACTGATATCTGATATCATTCATTATAAATAATAAATTATCAAAAAATATTTTTAATATTGGATATACATTAGCATAATTAGGAGCAATGTATTTACATTAAAAAACTATATTTATAATAGTGTTTAAAATTTTGCACTAACTTTTAAAGTCGATCTGTCAAATATAGTTCGAGTAGAAAGAAATAATAGCATAATACACTCACATATAGATATTGCATATAGTCTGTATAATTACTTTGTTTAATTATAATTTTTTTTTCTACAGATATTTGGGATATGCTATGACTGATTTTGAAATCAATCGAATTCGTAAGATGGATAGTATGAGTGTCTTCGCTGCTGTTTATAATTCTGGACCGCTTGGGGCAGAGTATGTGCTTGACTTTGTTGGTAAACATTATAGGGAAATGGAGAAATAGTAAGTTATCCTTATTATGCATTAATTTTATAATGTAGTTAACATTAATTCAAAAGAAGAAGTCGGATAGACACCGTTTATATCACATATTTAAATAAACAATACATTAGCAATGTGTTAATATATTAATATATGTTAATCTATGTCAAGTATGAGTATATATATATGTAAAGTACATTACTCTAATTTTGTTTGAGGCATATAAAATATCATGTAAATAGCTAATAATATAAATAGATATTGAGTAGATATTTAACACATGCAAAAAGGTTGATTATCTAGCATAATGTTTTTCATTTCAGTCTTTGGAGACCAGGCAACAATATCTTCAATTCTCAATGCAGTGTCGCAACGTCTTTCTACACCAGAATTAGTGAACAAATTTGAAGAATTCATAAACAATTATAAACAGGACTTTGCACCTATCGAGAAATCTCTGAAATATTCTTTAAGGGTTGCTAAATATGAATTAGAATGGCATAAGTCTCATTCGTCATCTATGATTGAATGGTTACAAAAATATAATACCGCTTCTTAATAAACTTATATTTTAACATCTTCTATCAACGATCTAATATTATGTCAACCAGATTTTAAATCTAATTAATTTAGATATTCAGGCAAGGTTGTGTAATTTACTACTTTCAATTTAATGTTTAAGACAAAAGGGATGGGTTGTTACACTATTAAATTCTTAAACTTTAAAGCTGAATTGTATTATATTCTGTTCAGTTTTTGTGTGATACAATTATTTGTTAAATACATCTTAATTAAACAATTATATTATAATATATCATATATTATTTGCTAATTAAAAATTGAAGCTGTATATCAAGATAATTTCATTATGTATATATTTGCTTTAATAAATATATAAATATGTTTGAATTTAAATAAATTGATCCATATTTTATTTCTATACGTATATCGTTGGCATTAAAAAACGGAAAAATTGAAAATTTATTATACATTAAATTAAATATTTATAACAGCAAATAATTTATTATAATAATAAAATATAGAAAAATGAAAAGTACTGACTTTTGTGAACGCTTAAGATAAATTAGATAACCTGCTTTCCTGTAATATATTCCTGTAATATATTTTTATATTAAATATATTGATATATTGAATCAAAAATTATTATAAAGTGACAACAAAAATTTAAAAAATTATTAATTGTTAAGAATATTATGTATATAAGTATAATATATTTGGATATACTTTTGGATATGTGTATATACATGTTATAATTTTTATGTAACTTTTGTATTTGTTGTCATATTGTTAAATACATTTGATTATCCTATAAATCAAATAGTTTTTACAATAAAATAAAAATATGCTTTACATGTTTTATCAGGTACATTAATTAAAATTTTCAAAATATCTTGCATATATATAATTAATTTCAAATATAATAATCTAATATTTTGAATTGTTATCTGATATATATACACGCATAATTTATATTTTTTCATATTTTTCTATATTTTTAATCTATATTTTTTCTATATTTTTTCATCTGTTTATGTATCTGTTTATGTATTTATGTATCTATACATATAAATATACGATATTTGACTTGTGCATTACTTCAACATTTCTCTAAAAAAGAAAATTTTTAAATATGGGACATTTCTCTGAAGTTTTCTCTGAAGAAATTAATGGAAGAAAAAATTATACTTATCTTATTACTTTATTTTAAAACTCTGTTTTTCTAAAACTTTATTTATTTCTAAATATTTATATTTTGGGAAATTTATAGTTTCGAACATTGTTTCATTCTGATTTTTCGGAACACTATTATATTTTTTTAATTTTGATACTATGATTTTTTGGCAATATAAATCTATATTGAATATTTTAATTGGTTACAGCGACATAAATAGAGTAATTCAATAAATACAAATTAATAGTAACATTATATCAATATTATAATTTCTCACTTAGCAAATGAATGTATAGCATATGTTATGCGTTCCTCACGAAAAAAAGTTCTATAACTTTTTATGTAACAACTTCACCGAACTAATTATGACAAAAAATTATGATTAATTAAGATAAAAATACACAGAAACTAAGTCAGATACAGCGAAGAAAAGAAGTTTTAATACCAAATTACGCTAAAATTATTATTTATAAGAAAATGTGCGCTTTCGGACGTTTTCTTTATGTATTATTAATGAGCATACTATAAGGTAGAAATCGATAGTTTTTTTACATGTAATTTCTACCAGTTTTTGTACATCTAATTGTAACTTATAGATGTAAATCTATACAATAATTTATTCAAATTCACTGTATCATGATAACATTTTGAATGATAAACATTATATTAGTGAAGTACCAAGAGAATGTCTTAATGATTAATATATTTTTTTCCTAATTTTGTTAATAATAATTGGGATATTTATTATAAATCTTTATAATACAAATAAAATTAATTTATAATGTATATTATAAAAAATTATGCTATTTCGCAAATTGTTTTCAAACCAATAGACTATTAACAATTTTTCGAGATAATATGATATATTTTATAAATAATTACAACAATGTTTCATCAATATTTTTGCTTATTGTTTCATCAAGCATAAATAAATAAAATCTAAATTTGTATAATATTTTGTTGTACATACATCGTAAACAATTGTAATTTTTCAACAGATTTTGGTCGACTCATTAGAAAGCTGCAATTTGCTATTCTATTTTGGATACTATTAATTATTAGACAAATTATTTTTAATAGTTATCTATGACAACTTTTAAATTTTCAAAATTTCTGATAATGCGTAATAAATTGTATGTTTTTAAAAAAATAGCAATTAAATCAAATATTAATTACTTATATTTTATATTTTTAAGATGATACTGATTATTGTAATTTCATTATAACTTCAAATCATTAAAAGTTGTAATTTTAGTCGATTAGTTTTTAATACTACAAACTTTTACAATCTATTTGGATAGTTAATACTTTTTGGCCTTACATAGATATTTCGAGTCCGCATGATCTTTATTTATAGAAATCAGCACGTTGAAAGATACTGGATTTATACTACATTTTAATTTCTTACACAATGAAGTACAGATATTTGTTCTAAAACTTAAAAGTATATCTGTGAATTTTTACAGATTTTTTTACCATTTTAAAGATATAAAAAAAGAGCTGGATTCGAAAGACTTATATAGGGTCACATGTGGTGCCCTATTTTTCACATAAGCCATTAAGGGTTAATATACATAAAATTGCATAAAATATTATAGATATTTATGAGAAATTACAAAACTGTTCTGTATCATAATTTTTTTGTTTTTGTATATTTCGAACAGCTGTTGAAGATTGTAATTGATTATAAAAAGTTATATTTTTAATGCCAATGTACGATGAATTGCGTCTCGGTTGCAGAAGTTTATCGTATTGAAAAGTTTATCGTTTTGAAAAATTGTAGAAATTTCTTACGCAAAACTACATCTTATTACGACATTTATGAATTTATATTGTAGTATTTTCTATGAGGTTGTAAAAATGCGTGAATAGTAATAAAGTCATACGGTTGTTTATAGATTTTTTTTTGTCAGAGATACATTGCTGAATAGGAAACTGTAACATTAATACCACTGTTACTTTGTGTTTACTGGAAATAAAAGCAAAGCTGTTGCAAGCTGGACAGCTGTTACTAATTAAACAACAAAATTTCCCTTCATTTCATTGGATCTTTGACCGTGTGAAGGATATTCATCCAGGAGCGGATAAAGTTGCATGATCTTCAATTATAATCATATTTAAAAAGTCTCTCGTCTAATTACTATTAAAACTGTTTATTATATTAATTAAAAATTAATTGTATAATCTTTCTACAATTTATATAAATTTTTTATTAAAACTTGATTTTTTAATTAATGTATTTTCTATATTTTGTAGCTTCTATATTTAATCTATATCTAACTTTTGTAACTTCTATAGTTTGTAACTAATATAACTTTTCTTTATTTTTCGTATTTATTTTGATGCCATTTTGAAAACTGAATTCATTTTATTAATATTGTTTTAAAGCTGTTGCTAATTTATTGCAATCATCTTAAACTATTAGATGTTAAAAGAAGAAAACACATGATAAAAATTCGCGAAAAATTCAAATTTATATTAAAATCAAAACATTTTTTTATAAAATATTATTTAAAATACAGATGTTTAATAAAATATATTAAAACTTTCGTTTAATCAATGAATAATCATACATCTTGAAATGAATCATATCTAATTAAGAATAGAACTATAATTTATAATTCAATCAATCAGTAAAAGTTTAAATAAAAAATCAATAATTAATGATTTATTAATGATTCATTGATCTTATTTGAGAATAATCATATTAAGATATAAAATAAAGTGAAGAAGTTTTCTAAAACAGAAAATGTTTTGCGTTATTTTTTAAGTGTAAAATCCTTCGTGCTACATTACTTTTCTTAAATAAATTTGTTTATTGATAATGAATATTTGCCAATTTTCGGAATTCTCAGATATCGTTTTATATATCGATATATCAGTTATTGATTAATTACAATTGTTGCAACTTCATTTGCCATTCAGCATTTTCAGTTTAACACTTCGTTTGTGTCAATCGTGGAATTATTTGAGGTGTCACACAAAATTATAAACATGAAGATCTTTGGAAAATATCTGTTTTTTTGTACTTTAATAATTATATTATTCAGTGAAAATGTAGCAAGTAAATCTTCTTTTTATGATGGTAATTCTGTTTATATTTTATATTAATTAATTTATTTTTCAAAAAATATTTAGAAAAAATTATATATTTTTACATTTAAAGCAAGTGAAATATTTTCTTTAATTATAAAATAAAATAAATTTTCTTTAATTATAAGATAAACATTTATTATTGTATTAAATAACAAACATTTTTAATTTTATAAAATTAAATATAAAATTTTATGAATTATGAAACTTAATATTGTCAATAATATAAAAAATTTCATATCTATAATATTGGCAAAAAGATCTTTATTTTTAATATATATCTTTATTATATTATTATTAATAATAATAATATAATATGTACGATTATATACTTTATATGTATTGTATAACAAATTTTGAAAAATGCTATTTTTAACTAATATTGATAATAATATTACTTAAAATAATAATAATAATAATAATTTTTACCTTTTATAACTTTTTTTTTACATTTTAAACCACTTTATATTCACATTTTTAAGATAATTTTGTAATATTTTTCAGATACAATTATTCAAACTGAGAATTTTAAACAAGATGTCAGTTCTATCGTCGACTATAGATTACCAAGATCTATCAAACCCATTTCATATAATGTTAAGTTGATTCCAAAATTAAAAGATAATTTTAAATTTAAGGGTTATGCAACAATTACAGCATTGGTGAAACGCACAACTAATCATGTTACGTTACACGCGGAAAATATTGAAATCGAATCAGTATTTATTCACTCATACAGAAATAAAAGATTCTCTTATAAATATGACATGACTAATAAGTATACTATCATTAGCCCAAAACCTTTTAGAAAAGGTAACCTTATAAAAATAAATATTAAATACAATGGAATCTTAGCCGATGATATGCTTGGATTTTATAGAAGTTCTTATTTCGATGAAAATGGACAAATTAAGTAAGTGCATCCATTTTTTATAATAATAAGTAAAATGAAAAATAAGTAGACTTTTCTGTTAAATATTGTCAGTGTTCTTAATGTGATTTATAAAATTCATGTGATGTTTCTCTGTTTATAAAATTATAGATGGTTAGCCGCGACACAATTTCAAACGATATATGCAAGACGTGCCTTTCCATGTTTCGATGAACCGGGTTTTAAAGCTAAATT